TGTTGTGTTTTTGTACCCCCCCGAATTAGTTCATTTTCTCACTAAAACTTCAATACATAGGGTCAAGTTGATCATTGAGGAGATTGAAAGGGAAGAAGAAGCTTTGCGGCAAGATCTTTACTCGGCAGACAGAAAGTTTGCTGAATATTACAATGTATATGACAGGAAGTTCATTTAATGAGTTTTTTTTTTATCCATTTTGTCGAAGGTTAATTGCATGCCTTTCAAATTTTTTGTTCAAACTAGGTTCTTGAGCAGATATTGGGAGTATTAATTAAGCTTGTCAAAGATTTGAAGCTGCGGCATCAACATAAATATGTAATTATTGTTATTTTCTACCATAATGGATGGTTAAATTTGCAGGATTGGTTTCAGTTATTAGTTTTTGTTTTTAACTTTGTAACTTCAGCACATTTAACCTGGTCAAACTCAAATTATGTAGGACGATCTCCAGAAAACTTGGCTGTGCAAAAGGTGTGAGACGATGAATGCGAAACTGAGGTCTGTTAAACTCGATGTTCATTGGATCCTTGGTGCTAATTAAACAATTCAATATTCATACAAATCTTCTTTCATGTGTCAAACATCTGTTGAGCTCTCATGCCGGAGTATGGCAATATCTGAAATGCGTCGACACTGACACTCTACGAAAGAAATAGTCTGCACTTTATAGTTCTTATTTGCATGTGTTCAATCAGCACATCCTAACTGAGCTCTTTATAGCATTGTGGAAATTCACTTTCATTTTCCCTTCCTGCATCTCTTTTTTGGAGCAGAATAGCATTTTAACTGCAAATTTTGTTTTATTTCTCTAAATATGCGATGATCACGCTGTCGTAATTATGTACTTCGTTTTTCAGTGTTTTAGAGCACGTTCTCCTGCTAGAGACTTACACACAGGAATCTATACCAGCCCTTCATAAAATAAGGTTTTGTCTGAATATATTCTTTTTAGTAGACCAGCGTATTATCTTCAAGGTAAATATAATTTGTAATGTTCTTTTTACAGAAAGTATCTTGTTGAAGCAACGGAGGAAGCTTCTATTTCTTATAATAAAGCAGTAAGTTTCTCTCTCTCTCTCTCTCTCTCTCTCTCTCTCTCTCTCTCTCTCTCTCTCTCTCTCTCTCTCTCTCTCTCTCTCTCTCTCTCTCTCTCTCTCTCTCTCTCTCTCTCTCTCTCTCTCTCTCTCTCTCTCTCTCTCTCTCTCTCTCTCTCTCTCTCTCTCTCTCTCTCTCTCTCTCTCTCTCTCTCTCTCTCTCTCTCTCTCTCTCTCTCTCTCTCTCTCTCTCTCTCTCTCTCTCTCTCTCTCTCTCTCTCTCTCTCTCTCTCTCTCTCTCTCTCTCTCTCTCTCTCTCTCTCTCTCTCTCTCTCTCTCTCTCTCTCTCTCTCTCTCTCTCTCTCTCTCTCTCTCTCTCTCTCTCTCTCTCTCTCTCTCTCTCTCTCTCTCTCTCTCTCTCTCTCTCTCTCTCTCTCTCTCTCTCTCTCTCTCTCTCTCTCTCTCTCTCTCTCTCTCTCTCTCTCTCTCTCTCTCTCTCTCTCTCTCTCTCTCTCTCTCTCTCTCTCTCTCTCTCTCTCTCTCTCTCTCTCTCTCTCTCTCTCTCTCTCTCTCTCTCTCTCTCTCTCTCTCTCTCTCTCTCTCTCTCTCTCTCTCTCTCTCTCTCTCTCTCTCTCTCTCTCTCTCTCTCTCTCTCTCTCTCTCTCTCTCTCTCTCTCTCTCTCTCTCTCTCTCTCTCTCTCTCTCTCTCTCTCTCTCTCTCTCTCTCTCTCTCTCTCTCTCTCTCTCTCTCTCTCTCTCTCTCTCTCTCTCTCTCTCTCTCTCTCTCTCTCTCTCTCTCTCTCTCTCTCTCTCTCTCTGTCTTGTCTTGTCTCTCTATATATGGTAAGAAACGGGAATATATTCAAGGGAAATTGAAAAAAGAGACAAACTAACCACCAAGGATAACTGAGCTCTGTTTAGAGAAAACTATAACAAGTAGCACCTCCAATCTGAGGCCAGTCAAAATAACTCGAGTAAAAATGCAATAAACGATTTTTCTCTATCTTGGAAGGTTCTGTGGTTTTTTTCTAACCAATAAAGCCAAAAAAAAAAAAATGAAAATAGGGAGCTCTAACCACACTTCTGTGGCACTTTAGCTTTGTTTTTCAGCCACCATGTACCATTTAGAACAACTTTCAATGGCGTTCCTGTGTTTTTCAATCATTAAACAACCATCATAGAATGCCTACAGTCAAAAACCAAAGCAAAAGGTAAAAATAGAAAGAAACAAACCCTTCTCAAACAGTCATCCCATGGGGATATCAGTGTGAGATCCCACATCGGTTGGAGAAGGGAACAAAAACATTCTTTATAAGAATGTGAAAACCTCTCCCTAGCAGATGCGTTTTAAAACCTTGAGGGAAAGCCCGAAAAGGAAAATCCAAAGAGAACAAAATTTGTTAGAGGTGGACTTGGGCTTTTACAAATGGTATTAGAGTCAGCCACCGGCTCGTGTGCTGACGAGGATGCTAAGCATTCAAGGGGGTGGATTGTGAGATCCCACATCGATTAGAGAGGGAAACGAAGCATTCCTTGTAAGAGTGTGGAAACCTCTTCCTAGCAAATACATTTTAAAATTTTGAGGGAAAGCCCGGAAGAAAAAGTCCAAAAAGGACAATATCTGCTAGCAGTGGGTTTGGGACATTACAATCAAGTATTTTCAGGTATGAGAGATTACAATCAAGTATTTTCAGGTATGAGAGGTAACTCTCATAGCACAGGGACATAACTCTCACAAGGTATGAGAGGTAACTCTCATAGCACAGGGACATAACTCTCACAAGGTATGAGAGGTAACTCTCATAGCACAGGGACATAACTCTCACAACATAGGGACAATGAAAGATGCAATAAGTACTCTTATTATTCTCCTGCTTTTGTAATCTGATCCCATTCTGAGATCAACTTGCAACCATGGTTTGCATACTTTTATGTCTATCTTCGGACTTAGCCAGTGCATTCTCCATCATTTAACTTTACATTTCTTTTAGGTCACTCGACTCCGTGAGTATCAAGGTGTAGACCCACATTTCGACACAATTGCGAGGCAGTACCATGATATTGTAATGGTAATGTCTTGGGAAATTACTTACCATTTTCATCCTCTTTGTTGAAAATGGGTAAGAAGAGAAAAACTCACAAGTTTTACACACTTTTATTTTTCAGAAACTGGAGAATATGCAATGGACAATTCACCAAGTTGAGATGGACTTGAAACGCTTGCCAGATCAGTCAAGTACATGAAATATTTACCATAGAATTTGATTCATTTGTCTGTATTGCTTCGTTTATTGTGTTATGATCTGTTTGAAGTTAATATATTTTGTTTTTTTTTTCATCAGCAACCTGTTCATAATGTATGATTTGTATTTATGGGGTGATGGAGAATGGTCTGATTTTGCACCCACTTTTGTCTTCTTAAATGATTAGTTTCAATTCATCTCAGCCATTCTCTGTTTTTTTATGGTAAGTGTTACTACAAAGGAAGATAATTAGCCAAAAAAAAAAGAGGAATGGTGTTTGCAAGTATTACTAAAGAGGATTTCAAACAATAATAACAATTTCCATTTAAGACGGCGTAATAGCTCAAGTCTATCTCTAGCAGATATTGTCTACTTTGGTTCGTTACGTATCGTCGTTAATCTCATGTTTTTTAACGCGTTTGTTAGGAAAAAGTTTTCACATCCTTATAGAAATGCTTCGTTTCTCTCTCCAACCAACCTGGGATCTCACAATCCACCTATTTTAAAACACTTGGGAGAAGTGATCCCACCCATTTTAAAACACTTATATTAGGGAGAAGACCGTTGAATGTTTTCCCTCTCCACAATCCATCCCCTTAGAAGAGATCTAGCGCCACACTGCATGGTGTCACTCTAATACCATTGGCCCGGCCCACTGCATGGTGTCACTCTAATACCATTGGCCCGGCCCACTGCATGGTGTCACTCTAATACCATTGGCCCGGCCCAAGCCTACGGCAAGCAGATATTGTTCGCTTTGACCCATTACGTATCGTCGTCAATCTCACTCGCGGTTTTTAAAATGCGTCTGTTGTGAAGAAATTTCCACACGAAATGTTTCGTTTCCCACTCCAACCAATGTGACGTCAATCTCACTCGCGGTTTTTAAAATGCGTCTGTTGTGAAGAAATTTCCACACGAAATGTTTCGTTTCCCACTCCAACCAATGTGAGATCTCACACTATGAATATGTTTACCAAATGCTTTTCCGATCATAACTCACACTTAAAATTAATTTAAAATATATGAACCAGTCTTTTAACCTTTATTTTATTTTCGTCTATAAACTTTAGTCATTACCTGAAATTAAAAAATAAAAATTACTCGTTCATCCTATCATTATTAGTCTACATTGTTTCTTAATTGATTTAGGCTAAGTTTGTTTTATAAATTTTAGAAGTATGTTTTTCAGTAAATGAATATTAAATTAGACGTATTATTAACAATATATATATATATATATATATATATATTTTTGCATATTATTTGTTGGGTATGGTAGGTATTTTCAAAGAAATAATTTAAAAAAATATATATTTCGGATCATATTCTTTGAGATATCTAAATTTTTTCAACTAATCTTAAATTAATTATTTTTCTTAATTATTTATTAATAGTGAGTATTATTTTTTTTTTTAAAGTTTAATAATAAGCTAATAATAATAATTAATTTTAAGATTTATTAAAAATGATTCATGTTAAATTGGGGCCCACCCAGAACCCCCGGCTTGGCCCACTTGGACCGGACCGTCCTTTTCTCCAATCGGATCCCGGTAGCGTAAGCGTTCAATGAACGCGTCTATATTCACCGCACTTCAACCATATTTTAAAAGAGACTTATTTTATTGTACACGTCAGCGAAGATCTGACCGTCCATTACTGATCTTGGCCGTCCACGTCATCTCCCTACATGTTCGAGAACAATCCTGACCCCATTCGGATGCGAATTCGTGATGGAAACATACGGATTCTTGCCGCGTTCCCCAAAATCTCTATAAATAATCCCTATACCGCTGAGCGTTGGTCGCATCATTCGTTGTCCGTTCTCTGTTCTTCAGTACCCTCTCGTAAGTCTTTGATCCTTTCTGAATAGTTGAATCAGTTCTTTTTTATTCTCATTGTTAGCTCTACTTTAACTTGTGTTCCTGTTTTTGTTGCTGGATTTATCTTTTTGCTACTTTGATTTGTGGTTTATTCTCATTTGACTTGATGATTTGATGATCGTCGTTGGGAGATTTCTGTTTAGATTGGATTTTAGTTTGTATCGGCCGGATTCTCGTCTTGCTTGAAACGATTCTGTTGTTGCGTTCTTTATTGAAGTCGTGGATGATCTACGGTTTTTCTTTCTGGATTCGTTGTTTTGTTGTTTGAGTATTTGGTTAGATGATCGAGGAGATTCATCGTTCTGGATTCTTGTCCTGTTGTTCTCTTCATGTTTAGATTGGGTCTTAGTTTGTATCGGCCGGATTCTCGTCTTGCTTGTTTAGATTCTGTTGTTCGGTTCGTTTATTGAAGTCATGGATGATCTAGGGTTTTTCTTTCTGGATTCTTTGTTTTGTTGTTTGAGCTTTAGGTTTTATGAGTATATGGTTAGGTGATCGTCAGAAGATTCATCGTTGTTCTCTTCATCTGTTCAAGTGTTTTCTTATACTAAAAACCGTTTAATCCGGCCAATGGATGAACAAGGGATTTGTTCTTGTTCATTGGTGTTGATTGTATCTGATCCGCTTTGGGGTTTCGATTGATTGGAAGCCATTGATTGTGGAAGTTGACATTTAAAAGTTAAGCCAAGGCTTACTTATATCCATATTGATTTTGATATCTATGATGTGTTCCAGATTGTGGGTGTTCGAGTTTTGATCCAAACAAGGTTGATGGTTGAAATAGACGTCCAAATCCCATCCGCTTACGATCCATTCGCAGACGCCAAGGATTCCGATGCCCCGGGAGGCAAAGAGTATGTTCATATCCGCGTGCAGCAGAGGAATGGCAAGAAGTGCTTGACAACAGTCCAGGGTCTGAAGAAGGATTTCAGCTACGAGAAGATCCTCAAAGACGTGAAGAAGGAGTTTTGCTGTAATGGTAACGTCGTCCAAGACAAAGAATTGGGGAAGATAATTCAGCTTCAGGGCGATCAGCGCAAGAACGTGTCTCAGTTCCTGGTTCAGGCTGGGATTGTTAAGAAGGATCAGATCAAAATCCATGGATTTTAAGCAACTTGTTTTATAGTTCATCGAATTGAATCTGTTTCTGTGTTTTCTTTTGAATGGATCTTGGGATGGCGGACTGTAATGACAACTTGTTAGCAATAAAATGTTTGATTCTGGGTAACTTTTGTGGTCTTTCATGTTCTTAGCAGGATGTTTCAAGCTTTAATCTCTCTTGAGATTGTTTTGAATCATGTTCTTGCGGAAGTTTCAAACCTTTAGCTTCAACTTGATATCAATTTCATCAAGCCATTTGAATTCACAACGTTAATTAAAAAAAATTAAATATACTTTTTAATCATCCATCTATTTATCAGTATTTAGTTAGATTTGATGTTTAATTCAAAATGGACCACAAATCTATTAGTTTGAAGAAATTATTGAAAGTCATGAACTGTTCGGTTATCCGCGTTCGAGTTCTTGAGACCGGGCCGTGCCGATCAATTTTTCTACCTATTAGGTTCGAGATGTATAGTCCTTTCACATCTTTTCAATAGTCAACTTGAGAGGTAGTACTAAAAATGTTAAAATTTTTTTTATCAAAGTATCATATTGTTATCTTTTTTTTTTCAGGGTGAAAATTAAATCTTTTTAATTTCATTTTTTTAAAAGATATGAATTTTAATTATATATATCATTCATTAAAATAATTTAATAATTTTTTTTTGAAAGGAAAGCCAAAGAGACGTCCTCTTATTTAATACTTTTGAAAATTAAAACCAATAACTTAAATAAATATATTTATATATATAATATTAAGCTTTTGAATTTGACAAAGAAAACAAATATGGAATTTTTAAAACAAAAACTAAAAATTTAAAGCCTCATTTCCTAAACATTTGTTTTATTTATTTGTAAAATAAATGCTTAGAAATTTAAATTTCGGATAAAGTACGAGTAAATTTAATTACCGTAGAATTATAATATAGGATTTTTTTCATTTAATTCGTAAAGAAAATAGAACACCGACTTCGTTGTATATTGAATCATCCTACTCTAGCACTACTCTAGTCTTGGTTAACGACTCTCAAGGACAATTGTATCTACCAAACATTAGGTTAGATCATACTTAATATGTTTAATTAAAACATTAAACTCCTACTAAATCGTATATATGTGTCAATATACACTAATTAAAATTAACCCTGAAAAGCATAATCCAAAATACAATTTCAAAAATTAACTTAATATTTTAATTTTTAAATACTCATTCACCAACTAACCTAAACGATATATATTATAAATCAAAATGGTAGAGGTTTGAATCATGGTCGAGATCTTTGATCATTTTTCATAAAATTAAATAAATAAAATTAGAGGTTTAAAACAATGGGAAGTTAGGAATTTTATCTACTTTATACGGGATTTCATTAATGTGTCTAACTCTGCTCAAAGTCTTTGTTAGGTTATGCTTTAAAGATGTCTACGGACCAGAACGAGGACGGAGGACGAAAAAGTCTTTCTTGTCTCCATTTTCACTACCTTTTTCGATCTTCATCTCTGAGAAATTGTAGAGATTGAACCAAAGATTTTTCGTACATAATTTTTACTATATTTTTAGAGATTGAATCAGAGATTTCTCACCGTCGAAGATATTACTACAGTTATATGCTCGAACTAAAGTTCTATCTCTATTTTTATCACTTTCAACATATTTACCATAATTAATTATATTTGAGTTTGTAAAATATTCAACCAACAAACCATATCATAAACTTGGCCCTTCCATTTTCTCCCTCAATGGTGTGGTGGTTGGTTGAGTTGAAGGAGGAGGTTTTCGATACGACTCTTCACTTCTTTGTCGATTCATTCAAGACGATCCTTTTCGCTTTGTTTCTATGCCTTCTTGCTTTAGGTATGTATACGATCTTCTTTTGAAAAATTATTCGAGTGGTTTGACCATCGTTTTGTAGCCGTTACGATTCACGGGTTTCTACAATAGTATGATATTGTCCCCTTTGAGCTTTTCATTACTCGTGGGACTCCCTCCCAACAATCCTCAACAGGAAATACGTATTTTACTTTTGACATTTACAGTAGGTGCAATGGTCGGGACGGTGGTCGGAGCTTTCAAAGGCCATAGCACTAGCATCAGCACTATTGTCGGCGCCACCGTAGCACTTCAACTATTGGAATACACAACGTTTGCGTATAGATATTCTTTCCCAAATGTACGATTTTCTTTTTCTTCTTCTTCTTTTAGTAAAACAAATACTCGTGCTTAACTTTTGGATAAAATTTTCTGGCGAGCGACTTATTGGAGCATATGCACCGAGAGATATCGGAGTTCATCGACGCCACTGCCGGAGAAAGTTGTGTGGAAGGGATGCCAATGGAGAGTGTCCAAAACTTGGCTGTTTCTGAATATGATCACCGCAAGATGAACAGCTCCATTTCTTGTTCCATTTGCTTAGAGGTATATTTATGGTCATACTTTATCTAAAATAAAAATATTTAAATTATATATATATATATATATATATATATATATATATATTTATTTATTGAGATTTTATTTTATTTTATTTTATAATATTTTCAGAAATTTGAAGATGGAGAATTTGGGAGGAGACTTCCAAATTGTGATCATTTCTTCCACGTGGATTGCATAGATCAATGGCTACGATTGCATGGATCTTGCCCAAATTGTAGAAAAAATTGTATTTAAATAATATAAAATTAATTTTATTTTTGTTTATAGAAAATAAAATATATATAAAAATTATTGTAAATAGTATTTTAAATATTTAATTACCCCTTGGATTTATAGGTTTTGTTTAATACGTCATAAATTTTTAAGTTTGATTTTAATATATCTCAATCTAAATTTTTTTAATTTTTATATTTAAAAAAAAATTAACGGGTTTTTTAGATATAAAATTAAAAATTATCGCCCTAAATTTTAAATTTTGTATATAATATTAAAAATTTATAATTTAATTCATTTTAAAATTAAAACAAACCAATCATAATTAGAAGAATCCACTGGGTCGGGTCGGGTTAGACCTGAGCCGACAACCAAACAGCCCAACTCCAGCTTTGGTCCAGCCCACTAGCTACCTGTAGCCCAATCTAGAAGCCATTCCAGCTCATCCATGTTTCACTTCAGCCCGGCCCATATCAAGCCCAACTTCAGACTTCAACCCAGCCCAACAAAGTTTATTAGTATTTTTTTAAAAAAAATTTATTTTTTTTTAAAAGTAAAATTTAAGAATATTTTTATTAATTTAGGGTTCATAATTTAATCCACAAATTAAAGTAATAAAGGTTCCGAAAATGGATTGGAATCTACATGCTTCAACCGATGAAATCAAGAACTAAAGAAAAAAATCGAAACCTTTTGGAACACTTCCAAGTTCACCTCGAATCTCGTTTTCTGTCGTAAGAAAAAAGCTCGTCATCCTGCCAATGGTGGGGACACTTTCGATTCGCCTCGAGCGCCTTCATGTATAATTTAATTAGCCGCATCCAACAAAATCTGGCGTTAACGAGCATTGGCAACCGGAAATTTGAAACGGCTTCTTGATTGATTTTTTCTTCGATTGATTCATAAGGAAAAGGAAAGCGTATCTGATTCCTTTCTTTCTTTCATCCATCTGTTATCTTCTATTTTGGTCGTCTTCGACTTTATTGCTGGTAAATCTCTTCTCCTTCTTCTGTACGCAGAATTGGATCTAGAAATTTCTCGGGTTTGAGTTATTGTGTTCGTGTTTAGGTCGAATTCGATCTGGTATTTGCAATTTGTGATTGATTTAGTTTTGTAGTTTGAGAAGAGGGTTTTTCAAAGCATACGTTTGTGTGAGTTTATGTATGTAGCTAGAAGGCTAGAAGCTTTGTTTTCTGAAAGGTTTTGCATATTTTGACTTTGTTAATCGCCTTCTGTTTATGTTTTTATTTTTCTGTCTGGGCTTTTGAATGCTATGCTTGTGCATTGAGATGTTCTCGAGTGTTCTTGTTCTTGGTTATGTTCTGCTAGTGATTTCACTGCTTATTTGTTTATGGAATGTGAAGTTTATTGAAGCACCATCCCTTGATTGAATTGATTTCAGGTTATATTTACTCATACTATGGAAGGTACAGTTCTTAGAAGGGTTATTCCATCAGACAACAGTTGCCTCTTTAATGCTGTTGGGTAAACTTCAAATTACTTGCCTATCCATTCCTGGATAATGATTAAGAGATAGGAATCTGTATAGTCTATAAAATGGGTATATTTAACTTGTGGTATGCCAATATGTGAGATCCCACATTAGTGAAGAGGAGAACGAAACATTCCTTATAAGGGTGTGGAAACCTTTCCCTAGTAGATGCATTTTAAAACCTTGAGAGAAATTCCAAAGAAGACAATATTTGCTAGCGGTGGGTTTGGGCTGTTACAAATGGTATCAGAGCTAGACACTAGGCGGTGTGCTAGTGAGGGACGTTGGCCCCCAAGGGGAGTGGATTGTGAGATCGCATATTAGTTGGAGAGGAGAATGAAACATTCCTTATAAGGGGGTGAAATCCTTTTCCCAGTAGACACATTTTAAAATCTCGAGGGAAAGCCCAAAGAGAACAATATCTGCTAGTGGTGGGCTGTTACACAGTACAATACATGAGCAAGACTAAAAACTGAAAGATTATGAACTTCTTTACATATGATTTTTAATTGTTTTGAAGACTAACTTTATCCCCGCTGTTTTTTGTGGCTCCACCAAGCAAATTAAGAGAGTTTGAAGATAATAAGCTATAGGCTTCTTGACATATAATTTTAAAGAAAAGTATGGGTCCCCCTCTTGTTTGTGGCTGTACCACTGCCCGTTTCGAGTGTAAGTTCATGTACCAAGTTCAACTCTTTTTGAAACCCCTGAAATGTAATGAGCATACAAATACATTTGAAAATATAATGTTTAATGGGTCCTTTCCATTTTGATATTTTGGTGTTGTAGAAAATTCATTGTCAGTTGTGCCCATGTCTCATGTTCATATTTGTGCTACTTCTGTTGTGCTCGATCTTTATCTTTTTTGTGTAATATATGCCAGTTATGTTATGGACCACGACAAAGACAAGGCTACCGAGCTAAGACAGGTTCTAATTCATCATATTTTATCGTTTTCGGAACCAGATTTTACTGCTTTTCAATGCATCACTATTTCGGAGTTATTTTCAAATTCTAAATTCTTCGAAGGAAGATAGATCCAACCCGAACAACTTGCATTTAATTCCCTTGTAGTGTAGATATACTAAAAAATAAGTAGCAGAATTCTGTATTGCATGCTTGACCAACTTTTCATTGATGAAGAAGATGCAGTATCTGATGTGTAAAAATGCTGGACTTCGAATGAAAGCATCCGTGAGATCCCACATCGGTTGCGAAGGAGAACGAAGCATTCTTTACAAGGGTGTGGAAACCTCTCCCTAGCAGATGCATTTTAAAAACCTTGAGGGGAAGCCCATAAGGGAAAGCCCACAAAAGATAGTATCTGCTAGCAGTAGACTTAGGCCGTTACAGCATCGCTCTCCACCACACATCACTCCCAACACGCACACATAGAAACAAAAAGAACAAGAAAAAGGCATATGCTTAATCTATAGAATCATAGAGCCGAAAGAAATCTGGGATAGAACCCACACAGAAAAAGGCATGCTTAGCTACTTTTTGTACAAAATCGTATTTGAATTCTTTACTCTGAACATCTTGCACAATTGATTCTCTTTTAAGGTCATAGCTGCAACAGTAGCTAGTGATCCAACAAGGTATTCTGAAGCGTTTCTTGGAAAGCCAAATGAGGAGTACTGTGCTTGGATTCTTGATTCAGAGAAGTGGGGAGGTTTGTATCTCTATTATCATTACTAAATGGAAGAGTTTTTATGAGATTTTCTTGTAGATCTTCAAAACATGTAGTTATCCTGCTGTTTCTTGTTTTCTAGCATTAGATTATGGGTTTGGTGTTTTGTTGAACTTGTGGAATGAACCCCTTTGGGGGTTTTCCTGTATTCTTAAAAGTTGTAGAAGTGTTCTGCCATTATGTAGCAGCTGAATCCAAATCTATATTACTAGAGAGAACGTACTTTGGCATTTGAACGTGCCGGTGCATCTGGTTAGGCATCGGTCATATGCCATGTTAAGTACTCGATTTTCTTCTTTTCAAGTTTGTTTTCTCTGATGCAGGCGCCATTGAGCTTTCGATACTATCCGAATATTATGGACGTGAAATTGCAGCATACGACATCCAGACGACACGATGTGATTTGTATGGTCAGGTTAGGATTTTCTATTCCGATGACTCCATTGGCTCGGTAGGAATAATCTTTTGACTTCCTGATGCTGATTATCTGTCATCTTTGACAGGAAAAGAAGTATTCAGAAAGGGTTCTGCTGATATATGACGGACTCCACTATGATGCTTTAGTTGTATGATTTTCTGATTTCCTTAAATTTGCATATTCATACGTTTTTCGCGTATGTTTTAAATTTATCGTTATTTGGGAATCGGGGGTACAGAGAAAGAGCTGTTTACAATGCGCATTATCGGATTTTTCGGTTTGAACATGTAAGGACCCAAATCCACCGCTAGCAGATATTGTCCTCTTTGGGCTTTCCCTTTCGGGCTTCCCCTCAAGGCTTTAAAACGCGTCAGCTAGGAGAAGGTTTCCACACCCTTATAAATGGTGATTTGTTCTCTTCCCCAACCAATGTGGGACATCACAATCCACCCCCCTTCGGGGCCCAGCGTCCTCGCTGACACTTTTTCCTTCCTCCAATCGATGTGGGACTGCCCCCAAATCCACCCCTCTTTGGGGCCCAACGTCCTTACTGACACACCGCCTCGTGTCTCCCCCCCCTCGGGGAACAGCGAGAAGGTTGGCACATCGTTCGGAACCTGGCTCTGATACCATTTGTAAGGACCCAAATCCTCTGCTAGCAGATATTGTCCTCTTTGGGCTTTCCCTTTCAGGCTTCCCCTCAAGGCTTTAAAATGCGTCTACTAGGGGAAGGTTTCCACACCCTTATAAATGGTGATTTGTTCTCCCCCCAACCAATGTGGGACATCACAATGAGGGCAACAAAGAGATGGAACATGAGCCCGAAAGGGAAAGCCCAAAGAGGACAATATCTACTAGCGGTGGATCTAGGCCGTTACAAATGGTATCAGAGCCAGACACCGGACGATGTGCCAGCCTTCTCGCTGTTTCCCAAAGGGAGGTAGACACGAGGTGGTGTGCCAGTAAGGACGCTGGGCCCCAAAGGGGGGTGGATTTGGGGGCGGTTCCACATCGATGGGAGGAAGGAAAGAGCGCCAGCGAGGACGCTAGGCCCCAAAGGGGGGTGGACTGTGATGTCCCACATTGGTTGGGAAGGAGAACAAACCACCATTTATAAGGGTGTGGAAACCTTCCCCTAGCAGACGCGTTTTAAAGCCTTGAGGGGAAGCCCAAAGAGGACAATATCTGCTAGCGGTGGATTTGGGCCGTTACAGAACATGTGAAAAATATGAAATATGCATAGTATTTCATAGGTCAGATTTCAATTATACATGGTCAAGCTGTCACCATGCCATTTCTTAATACTAGAACGTTTTGCATTTTGTTTCTCGCTTTGAGATATTTGATTACATAAAATGCAGCAAGATGACCTTCATAATATGTTCTTTTGGCATGAACAGAAGACTGTAAAAACTCGTGGTTGTCCCATGATTTCGTGGTCTTGATTTCGCTCTGCCTGTTATCTTTCTGCTCTGTCTTTGGTTGTGTCTGATATAGGCTTCCTGCATATTTGTCTCGGCTAGATGTCTCCATTTGAGGGAGCTCCAGAAGAATTTGATCAGACCATATTTTCTGAGAATAGAGACAGGAGCAGTGGGCCCATTGAGGAGCAAGCTCTCCATTTTGTAAAAGAGCAGCAAAGGTAGGATCTTCTTCTGGTATCCTCTAAGCTCAACTCGTTTCTGGAACGTGGCTTGTTTTAGTTTACGTTTCTTCTTTGAATGATAAGTTGAGCTGCATGACTTCCCCCAAAAGTTGTCATTGGTACTATCATTCTCTGTTTGAATCAGTACAAATAACAATTCACAAGAGGAAAAGGTTGTAAGATAGGAAGAAATTCATTTTGAATATCTGTTTGCTTCTCACTTTGCAATGTATGGATATTTTGTTCTATCCGTTTTAGGAAACGGAGCTTCACCGACGCCGCCAACTTCACTCTGCGCTGTGGGGTTTGCCAAATTGGAGTCATCGGCCAAACGGTATTCCTCGTCCAAATTTGATAGCTTCCTAAATTACTTCTTCAAACTCTTGTAACTCATTTGAAGAATCCAATGTCCAGGAGGCTGTAGAACACGCAAAAGCAACGGGTCATGTCAACTTTCAGGAGTATAGATGACATGAGGAATGTTGGGAAAAATAATTGGCTTATCGGTTTGAGCTTTATCGACTCCTCCGATTGTTGAAGTACTGTGGCGTTCTGATTGTTGTAAGCTTATAGTACCTTTCGAAATCTTGATTGTCCAGGAAAGTGTCACATTTACTGACCAGAATGTTGTGTATTAGATTCAATAATCACAGAACAAAATCCGGCTGTTTTCCCAAGTGACTGAGCTTTTCTAATAGCAGTGATGTTTCCTGAGTTATATGTAATATTCCTAAAATATATTGAGAAGCGTTCAGCAGATCTATGGTTTATACTCGTAAAGGGAACTCGAACGGATGTTTGGAAGGCTATTAATCGATTGATAAGTGAAATATTTGATACATCTGGAGAAAATAGAGGCATGAACAAATCTCAGGAAGCAATCACTCACTGCCTCTATATCTTCTGTTTAAGGGCATGCCTTAGCTGCAGTTTCTGACTTTCTTTCACATTAATCTGGACTTTCCTCTGTCGAGCTATTCGAGCGTCACTTAAGTCGAAGGAACTCCACCGACCAATAAAATCTGGACTAGACCCGCCATTGCCTGATTCTGCTTCTGGTGATGATGCTATCCCATTCGACTCCTTTACTGGTATCGTCTTGATGTCCCCCCGACCGTTATTATGGCCGGATTTCCATAGCCTCTTTGTTAAGTTTGATACTTTCTTTGATTTCTTTACAAGTTCTGAATAGACTTCACTGATGTTGATTGTTGTTTCCCAGTCTGTTCCACTCCCTGAGCCTGAGATGCTACTCTTTTTGCAATTCTTATTAGCAGCAGGTGGTATTGTGCATCCTTCCAGTGAATAACTCGAGTCCTGATCCTCAACTTGGCTCACCGTTTCCCATCCACTCTCGTCGTCTATGTCGCCATTCTGATCAATACACGCATGTGAGGCCATCAGGGTGCCATCCACCCGTTTAGCTGCATCCACAGTTAAGTCGGGGCTCGTTGTTCCAGCTTTCGGGATCTCGGTAGCTGGACTGTAAGAACCATATGGGTTAACCTCCTTTTCTTGGTTTTCATCAAAGTTAACTCCTTCAAGGATGGAGAAAATATCATCTGGCTTAGAAGGTTGGTAAGATAACTGCTTTATGTCTTGAATGTTCACTGCAGAAGCAGCCTGTCCTAGTAATATAGCTTCTCTCATCTCCTTAATATCTGAGATTGCTCCCCTTGATCTTAGGAAGTTTTCAAGATCTGAAACAAGCCTATTCATTTGAGAGTACTTCTCTTCTACAGCCACCTTGGCGTCGACCAGCTTCATTTGAACGCGCTCTTCACGCCATACTTCTGCCAACTGCAACATCTTTCTCTCTTCTTCTGCTTCCTCTCTAAGTTTCGCAGATTCTCTCTTTGACGCCTCGATTTCCGCCTTGTCGTCTCCAATCTCTTTAGCAAGCTCTTCACACACTTGTTCAATCAACACCCTTTCCTTTCTTTCTTCTTCATAGTCCCGCATCAACTGCTTCACCAAAGACTTGGCATCAGCTAGCTCATGAACCAGCTTTGAATTGAAATGTTCTGCTCCTCTTCGGTTTTTTCTTTCATAGTTCAACTCAGTTCTGATACTTTCCATGAATACACGGATTTTATCATGCTCCCTCATACGCCATGCAGTCTTCTCCTTATCAACCTTTCTCAAGAAGCTCTCGAGCTTCTTTTTCGATACATGGCGTTCAGTTTCGAGTTCCAAAATGTGTACCTGTGCCTGCTTTAGTTCAGCTTGAAGTGCACATATAACCGAAACCAGGCTCATTTGTTGGTCAAGAAGCTCGGTTTGATTGTAAATATGGCCCCTTTCATCTGAAATTTTCGAGCCGATAGGGTCCCATTTAGTTGCCCCCTCCATAACTGAGTTGGAGAATTGAAAGAACGGCTCAAGCTAATGGCAGGAATGGCAGAAGAAAACACTTCAAATTTATAGCAATCAATAAGAAATTGAAAGAGAGGAACATGAAAGTGATGCGACATTACCTTGCACAGAACGCCATTTCTCATACCAGAAGTTGATGGTTGGCTCTGTAACAGATCCCTTGTTTCATTACTTAATATGTTGTTGTTATGATGGCGGAGAATTGGAACTCGAACATGGCCAGCAACTGGCTGCAAAGTGAACAATAAATGACCACAATCATGAACTGAAACTGCAGAACTAGAAGCCAAATTACACTGAATGCATGCCTTGGAACTCATTTCGTTTCTAAAACTCATCTAATCACAGTTCTCAGCCCAAAAACAAAGATCCAATTCGAAACTACAGATCAGTTTTCATAATTTCGTTTCCTAGTAGGGAGAAAAATGCACATTCAATCTCCATCGAATGCAAGCAAATCACACAAACACAACAGCAATGTAAATTCCATCAAACTTTTCGAAGTTCGAGTCGATCGATTTCCAATTTACAAGAAACAGTTACCTGAAAACCGATCCCCTGCTCCAGCGTTCGTCTCAAACCTCTCCTTCCTCCATCAGCGCTCACCTCCGGCTTCTGAAACCGCCAAAAACCAGCAGCGAGCTTCCTTGCCGATACATTCACGTCTCTTTCCCGACTCATCCGCCGGAGATCTTTCCCTCCGTTCTCCGATTCCGACTTCTTCTCGTCCTCGTCTCCCTCACCTTCACCATCGACTCTCACCTCGACCTTCCACTTCAGAAGCGGAGTCTGCGGCCGACTCCTCGGCCCGGACGGCGCCAATTTCCTCTTAATCAACGAAAGATTTCGGATCCTCCGCCGAGAATCCCTCCGTGAACTTAACGTCTGCCGAAGATCCAATTCCGGCGATTGGTTCCCCGACTTCGGATTGAGGGAAGAAGCGAATGTAGGAATCCGTTGAGATTTTGCCAACACCGACAGCTTCACCGTCGTCTTCTCCATCCAGTTGGACGATGGATGAGAGAAATCACAGTGAAGAGAATCGATTTTCCATTTTTCTGAACGAACTCGTAGAGCTATGACAGAGTCGAATTGACGAAAATACCCTTGAAAAAGATACCTTACGAAGAGATTTGTATTTAATTTAATGTTTCGATAATAAATATCTTGGTCAAAATTTTCTCTCCTTTATTAAATATCCCACACCTTTATTCATTCTTTTTTTTTTTTTTTTTACCTTTGGATAAAAAAAAAATTCACCTATAAATTAATTTCCTAAAATAATAATTTAAATTTTACTATGGGTCTTGCAATTTACCCAAATTAAAATTGCACTTTTTCAAATTTTTTACCTACTATAATAAATCTCTAATTTTAAAGACATATTTCATATTTAATTTTATGAGTAATAAATCTCTAATTAATTTTGTATATAATAAGACATTAAAAAAATATTTTCAAAATGGAGGATAATTTAAAAATTAAGGAAAGGGTATAATTGTCAAAAATGAAGAGATATTTTAAACTTGCATATAAATTAATAGACATTTGGACAAAATACATTCAGAAAAGGGGGCTGTGGCAGGTCGTCTCATGGATTCGTTTACGGGGAGCAAACGACACGTTCGTTAAAACCCACGCGCGCAAACAACCAGTGTAAAAACGCGCGTAAAACTTCAACGTTAGATCTATAAATACGGCGTCGTTTTTGGCGCCGAAAAAGCCCTTTTTCATAACATGGCGTTGCGCGTGAGAATCACTCTCCTATGTCTAGACTAACAAAGGATGGTTGCAAAGTGAACAGAAGTGGGCCCCGATTTGTCTGTGCCAGGTATGGATTTTAATTTTGAAGACCAATGGTAAGTTGACACGTGGACATTGTTGTAGTTTGGTCCAAACATAATCGGGCTTCGAGCCTCATGTTGTTATAATAATTACTTTACAAGTTAATATTTTTTTGTTTAATTAAAATTTTTAATTTTTTTTTTTACTCATATTAACATTATTATTTAAATATTGAAATTTGGATCAATCGAAAAACATGAACAAACGAAGAATGCTCGTAAGATAAAAAAAATTGGTGCATTTATGTGGAGATAAGTCATCTAAGCTTCCATGTTCGAGTTAGAATTGAATTTATGAAAATCTAAAACAGTCGGGAAAAAAAAAACATTGATTCAGTGTAATAAGAATCATCATTTTATTGAGTTGAAAATCCCGCTAGAATTTTTTAGATGCTCTACTAAAAAAAACATACCTCTATAATTTATCTTTTCGGGAGATGGTTACCTTTGCCTTGAGCAGCTCAACCTTAGCTCGATTTAATCTCAACTTGGGTGATTCTTTCTCGAGTTGGGCAACTCAACTAGCTCAACCCTAGCTCGATTCATCTTCAGTTTGGAAGTTTTCCTTTGTGTTTTTAAGCACCGGTGATTAATTTTCACCCACACATAATTATACATCGATATTGAAATCTACGTCAGATTCATAATTTAATTTTAATTTAACAAATAATAATAAATAAATAAAAGCAACAAACATTTAAAAATTTGAATATTAAAAAAAAACATCTCTATAACTAATGTCTCCCTCATAATTTTTAAAAATTATTACCCGAAACAAACCTATGTGTTCAAAAAGACTATTTTACCCCTACTCGATCTTTCTTAAATATATGTAGTTATAGTAGGTTAGCTAGTTTTTTTTTTTTTTTTTTTTTTTTTTTTTTTTTTTTTTTTTTTTTTTTTTTTTTTTTTTTTT